AGTGATTGATGTGGGAGAGCCTAACTCACTGTGAATAGTGCCACCACTGGGCATATGGCCCTGGATGCTATAAGAAAGCAGGCTGAGCAAGCCATGAGGAGCAGGCTAGTAACCATCACTCTCAATGTCTCTGCTTCCATTCCTGACTCCAGGTTCCTGCTCTGACTTCCACAAATGATGGACGCCAAGTCGTAAGAGGAAAAAAACCCTCTCCTCCCCATGTTGATTTTGGTCATGATGTTTTTATCACAGCATTAGAAACCATAACTAAGATAGCCACAAAAGAATTCTTCACACTGTGACTATGGATGCAAACCTTCTCAGTCTATACAACCTGTGTGCCTTGAGCCTCCTATTAAGCCAACAATGTACACATTTATTTGTTTTATCATAGGTACCAAAATATGGTACCAGACACATGAGTATAGCATGAATTAATTTTCTAAATGCTAAGGACTCCAAAAAACCTTCTACAATTCAGGAGGATACTAGCCATATCTGCCTATTATTCCCGGAGGTGTTAGCTTTTGAGAATGGTCCTTGCTGATCTCTACTCAAATTAACGATCCAATAGTCAAACAGATTATTAGAAAAAGTTACTGTTTGTTTGTTCATAAAACTTGGAATTTGACATGGTTTTATGAAGCTCACCCATTACATACACAGAATGCAAAGCATACATGCAGCCCTAAGCAGAGTGATTCTGTCATACATTTTAAAAGTACACACACACACACACACACACACACACACACACACACACGCACATGAGGCTAGCACTGGAAGGGTTGAAGTAAAAAATGCTCTCTAGGTTCTTTGACTGCCTCTTCATGGAGCACTGGTAGTATGATCACTGACTCCTTATGTCACTGTAAATGCTGCAAGATACCCATGGAAGATGAAAAAAAAAAAGGCATTATTAACTGGTTTCCCAGTTTTCTTTGTTTTCATGCTAGTTGTAAAATGTAAGGGGAAGGGAATGGAACACAGATAGGGCACCTGAATGAATTTCTGTCAACAACATGAGGAACTACCATGGAACACTATTTTGTGAGGTTTAACCAACACCAGGATGAACCAAAATTTAGTCAAAAAGTCTTTCCAAGAAACTGTGCCCAAATCTATGTTAGAAGGTAGAATACCATTTCTACAAGTAAAGAGATGAAGGCAGTAAAAGGAGGCAAAGCAGTCAAAATCCCCTTGGGACCTTTGGACTATAGGTAACACCAAAGTATGAAGTGCCAAGGCATAAACTAGCATTTGAAACTATTTGGAGGCCATGTTTTAATGACTACAGGTTATGCACTTAAATCTAGTAGAGTTTCTTTTAAAACACAAGCTATCGGATTGAAAAGAAAATGAAAAGCCAAATTTCAACCTACATTCACAACAGGAAAACAAATACTCCAAGAGCTTGCTTTATAATATGAAGTTTATAAACACTAAAGAAAACCTGTGTTCAAGCCGCTAAATTAAGCACTGCTATTGGCCTGACCTGGAACTAATATCAAGAACTACGGGGCAATTTGTGAATGCTTGTTGAATAAAATCTTTGGATGTCTTCTCACTTTGTTCTTCAAAATAACTCTATGAGGAAGCTTCATCTTGCATGTGTGGAACTGGGAGCCAGTGACAATGAGTGACTTGCCCTGATGAAGTGGATATCCTGACCCAGGCAGACTAAGCTCTTAATGACTCTGCTTGGTTCTCTCCTGTCTCTGGTGCTAAGGAAGATAAATATGACATGTCTCTGACCCTATAAGAGCTCATTTTTAAACACAAAGGGTATTATGATTCAGAAATACTCATGTATACAGTTAAATTTCCTTAAGGCCTGGTAATCTAAAACATAATTCATAAACACGGATCATATGCAAACAAGCACAAATGGGAACACTGAGATCAGACTATGCTGAAGTGATGTCTAAATGGAATGATGCTGACCCGATTCCCCTTTTCTTCACCATAGAGTTTGTAGCTGACAGTTTATGTCTGTGTTTTCAAGCTTATAATAACTATATTTGTCTCATTTTGACACATCAAATAGTATATACACTTGCTGCTGTCTGAATACCTGCTGGGGGGAGGGACACAGCACTGCCCCCACTGCCATACACCAATTTATTCATTATGTATAAAGAGAGGTCCGTTCAAATTATGGATTTCTCTGGGCAGTGGTGGTGCACACCTTTAGTCCCAGCACTTGGAAGGCAGAGGCAGGTGGATCTCTGTGAGTTCAAGGCTAGTCTGGTCTATAGAGTGAGTTCTAAAGCTGGGGCTACACAGAGAAACCCTTCCTCCAACAACAAAAACAAGCAAATGAACAAACAAAACAAAACAAAATTATGGGTTTCCTTTTCAGATTCCCCAGGCAAAGCCAACTCCCATCTACTTTGTTGACCCTCACCTTCCCAGGACTTGGCACAGGTTTGACCCATGGTACCATGAGAAGACATTGGTTTGGAGGAAAGAAAGATAAATCACACAGCCGCAGAATCTTTGAATTGGAACCCTAGGGATTAAATGGGCCATCCAAACAAGGGATAAGCAAGCCAAAGAGGGAACAAAGGTGTGTTTAAAGCAGCCTTTACCTCAGTGTGGACCATTGCTTCATTCAAGCTCCATGTTCTGAATGAAATTATTGAAACTTCAGTACAAATAACATGGACTTCTTGTAGACACACAGTGAAGGTTGTCTTTATGACATCCCCCTCCTCCCACTAATTTTATTACATGCTTAGGGTTTGAAAGCTTTGTAACTTTTTAGCAACCAAATAAGAACCCTTTCAACATCATAGAACAATCATAGACAACCAGGGATCGAGTGTAATTGGCACTACTAATCAATGTTAAGGAAGTATTTGTGAAAGGAGACATGGGCTTATAGGATAGATTTGGACTTAGGATAGAGTCCTGAAAAGAAATTTCCTATCTAGTTGTACAACCATATTTATTATGAGAACAGACAAGAACTTCAGTGTCACCTCTTCCTGCGGACAGTGTCAGGACACAGTACGCTGAGATGCTCTGAAAAGCTTCTTTTGGACAAGATTACCTTCCCATCATGGCTTTTAGCAGAGATGACCTCTTGTTCCAGCTCCCATATGACAGAGACACTAATAGTGAAATGGCCAAACAGTGACAACACAGACAACAAGGCAAAGAAGGAGCCCCAAGGCTCTGTCATCTACAAGCCCAGTCACTAGTTCCTTGGGTGCTTGAGCTGACTATATTAATAGAAGGTTTATATTTTATGGCTAATAATGCATGGCACACATTGCTCATAGAAAAGGTTCCCATAGGGTCCTTAAGAATGAGAAAATGAATGGATAAATAATGCGACCTGCCCAAGGAATTTAAATCCCAGAACGCAGGGGTCCTTAGCTCACTAGAGTGCAGAGGGGAGGCTTGATTTGATGGCATCAAGTGTTGAGTTTTTCCATGTAAAATATTGAAGAGTTTATAATGAAAAGCTTCTGACTTGGTGGGAGGACTTAGCAGACTCCACCTTGCAATGTAGAATAAGAAGAATTATTCCTATCAGTCTAGCAAACGTGCCATGGCTGGACATGGCAGCGCACACCTTTAATCCTAACACTTGGGAGGCAAAGGCAGGCAGATCTCTGTGAGTTTCAGGCCAAAGCTACATAGTTAGATGCTATCTCAAAAGGAAAAAAAAGTTCCATGTTTATTCTATTTATACGCTATGATAGCTTCCACTCTTTGGGGACTATTTACAGTGATCCATAAATACTGGAACCTGAATAGCTACAAGTAAATAAATATGTGTGTGTGTGGGGGGGGAATTCAGAACATGTATTTTTTTTAAAAAAAAAAACTTAAATGCATTTATTTTCATATAAAATAATCCCTGAACTCCATAGTATCTGTCATTTGATTAAACTGATATTGAGGTAACTATCTAAGCCAGGGATTCCATGTACCTGGTGATAGTGTACAAGGACATTGATCATTTATGCTTCTGAACCTCCTATCTATAATTCATCAATCTGCAGGAGCAGAGGAAAATGTGACCCCCTGGATTATAGTTTAATAAGCTCATCGGGCACTGTGGCCCTGACAAAAACCCCTCAGAGAGGCAGACAATATGTTCACATTGTCTGTATAGCTGTGGATGGTTGGGGTCTAGGAGAGAGTGAGGGTGCCAAACTGCACAGATGACCATGAAGGGTTTGCAGTTATCAGTCTCTTTTTAAAATAAACATCATTTAGCACAATAATTTAGAGTAATACTTCAATATTAAAACTAATCAAAAGAGATTAACTTTGAATGAAAACGTATCTGAGCCAATTCCAGTATTACTCTATGGGACTTATGAATGTTTTCATATTTAATCTTGCAATTTCAAATCTTCATTTTGAGAACTACAAAAAAAAAGCTTACTCCATTTTTCCCCCACCAAGTTCTATTAGGGTTTGGATAGTTCTCTAACTTTATCAGAAAACATAACAAAGAGGTGTATTTCTAAAGAAAATATTATATATTAATTTTTAAGTACACCATATGCATCAGAAAATTTGCATTTTAATTCCTAAGTATATATAAAAATCTATTTGCTTTACTGATGGTACTTTATTGTAATGAACTCAAACATAAAATATAAAACAGCTAGTTAATCTAATTTAATATGGCACTCAAACACTTGCCCTCTCCCAAACCCTGTCTATCTTAGTGAACATCCATGTTGTTAGAATGGCCATTCCGAAGCTGTGGAATATCACTTGGGGTTTTACAACTTATTATCGACTGCATTTTTATTCACTTTTCTACCCCAAAAGAAAAATGATGACATTGAAACTCTACTAAAATATTTGCTTTCAATCTTCTTTCATGACTCATGTTCTCTTTTGCCTACATTCTGTGTACTTTCATCAACTTTCATCATCATTTCCTTGGTCTCCTTTCCAAATGTTAGACTATACCCATTCTTACACCTATTTACATATACATATATACATTACAGGCTAAAATCCGAATATGAGGGAGAACATGTGAGTGTTTATTTCTGAGTTTGGGTCACCTCATTTAATGTTATAATTTACAAATCCATCATATAACTGCAAATTCCAATTTCATTTTTTAAACTGAATAATATTCCATTGTGTATATGGAGCACATTTTCATTATCCACTCATTAGGTTCGTTCTGTCTCCTTGCTGTTATTATAAGTGGTGTGGCAATAAACATGGATGTGTACATATCTCTATGGTAAGACATGGAATGTTCTTGTGCAATAGCTGCGTGGCATGGAAGTTCTGCTGGTTTTTAAAGCATATTAATGTAGCAAGTTTTTAAGGGGAAAAATGGTCTTGCTTTTACAAATTCCATTTAGCTGGCATGTTTGATGCTTTATCAAGGTCCTTTCTTCCCCTCTGACCCCATTACAAACTCAAAATCATCTGTACTCTGCATTGTTAGATATCTCTTCTTAAACACTGAAGTTGTGTTTCATTGTGAACAAGGCAAATGTTGAGTTACAATGGGTATACATTTTTCAAAATGGAGTGAACATCTGGAGAGGAAAGAAAGGGAAACAGAAACCACTGCTTTACTTTGAAGTAGATTTCCAGGTTCTTCAGAATGTGGCTGCTCGAAACCCTTAGAAGAAATCAGTTTCAATCAGTCCAACGAGAGACAAACGTATTGTGACTTAGCGTCTCCTGCTCAATCCTCAAACCATCTCTTCTTACATTTCTAGATTGTCACAAATCAGGGAAGACCTTGTCTATCTGGACTCTTCACGTGTGTGAGCAGCAAACGAAATGACACCACTTTCCTGTGTCTCGCAAGCTCTTCAATAGAAGCAAGTGCCCCTTGAAGGAGGTGAAATGGAAATGTGTATTTTTAACTTCACATCCTGTACACACCCCATTGCCAAATAAAGAGTTTCAACAGCCAAGGAAACAGCTGGGGCTGGTAGTGGCTTTCTAATGACCATCTAAACTCGACATCTGGTCTTTGGGTCAATTTCTGGGTCAATTTCATGATCTCCAGAATCATTTTTTCCTCTTGAAAAAAAAAGCATTCATTTGTATTAAGATGCATTTTTCTTTGTTGGAATTTTTTAAAAACAAAACACTTAAGGACCTGCTTGTCCTCGTCCACATATTCCTTTTATCTAGCCCTTTCTGCTGTTCTCCCAGAAGCCCTAGTAGTCTTCCTAAGAAACATCTGGATGGTATGTTTCATGAGTGAAGTGAACATCTTTACTATCTCATTGTGTCATGGAGCCTGACCTCCACACTCTCAGATGTTGCCAAACATGTTCTGTTCCTGTACCAATTATGTGGTGAGCTCCTTTTTGAGGCAAAAGGGAGAAATGCAGATATTACTTGAGCACAGAGGGTAGGACTGACTAATGGAATGATATAGAGGTTCTGAGAACAATCAAGTTTTTGTAAGTACATATCAAGGTAAATAGCATGAAAAATACTTTTCAAATTCAGTAAGACACAACATCAAACTTCTACTATAAGGGAAAAGAAAAGCTTTTAGCATCAATGTCAAATTTTCCCCTCGTATCAACAGACATAAAACTCACTTTAATATTACTAATATGCAATTCTTAAACTTGATAATATTAGACAGAGACGCATTATAGTAGGTTGAGTGTATTTGATGCCCATAATCTCATAGGGAGTGGCACAATTAGGAGGTGTGGCTTTGTTGGAGTGGGTATGGCCTTATTAGAGGAAGTGCATCACTGTGGTGGTGGGCTTTGAGGTTTCCTATGCTCAGGATACCACCCAGTTTCTCAGTTGACTTCCCATTGCCTGCAAGATGTAGGACTCTCAGCTACTTCTCCAGCACCACATCTGCCCACACACTGCCCTGCTCCGTACTGTGATGATAATAGACTGAGCCTATGAAACTGTAAGTGAGCCACCCTAATTAAATGTTTTTCTTTTATAAGAGTAGCCGTGGTCATGGTGTCTCTTCACAGCAGTAAAAACCCTATGACACACATTGAAAGCACGGTGCCACCAAGAGAATGTGGTTGGCATGGTGTGTGATTCTCACTTTACTTCATGTATAACTACTGGTAGCTATGGACAATTAAAGTGCTGGTGGGGTACAGTCGATATGAAGGGGAATGCATATGCTTCACGATGACAGTTACCAATCATTATGTGTTTGCTTTAGTTTTTTGTTTTTGTTTTTGTTTTTGAGCCATTGCACAGATTTCCTCATTTAACATACACCTTTTTCCAGATGAGAAATGGGGCTTTGGAACAATCATGACAATCGTGTCATTTGTTCAAGACGATACAGTTAGTTGGGGGTGGGTCAAAACTTGAACCCAAACCACCTGACTCTTGACCCTTGGCTCTTCATCATTACAGAAATTTAGGCCCCATTCTTTCTCCTTCCTTTACCTCTCACCTGTGACATGTGCAGACAGAGACTGAAAATCCAGAAAATTCCTATCAAAGTAATAGATCTGAAATCTCATCAAACCAGACAAAAGAAGAGACCAAATGAGGCAGTGGACAGTAGAAGTATTCCTAACCCTGTTTAGTTTACATGCTCATGAGGTCACTGAACCCACCGATCCCCCATCCTTTCTAAGGGGTAGGACTGGTGCCAGGTTCTCTTCAGATCTACATATTTTTGGTGAACTAACTCTTCATTAAATATCCCACTATTGACCCCAGTTGCATTAAACACTCGTTTCCAGGCCAGTTACATGGGATTAATAGGACAAGGTGTGTACTTGATGCCTCGTTTATGGAGTGGCAGCTGAGGAGACTCCAACGCTTGCTACAGTTGATGAGAAACCCCAGGAAAGAATCAAGACTAAGGAGAATGGTGACATCAAATTGAAGGTGGTGGACAGGGCAGTTATGTGGTATTGTTTAAGATGAGGAAGCAAACACCACTAGTAAACTAATGAGAGCCTATTGCGTATGACAGGTTTGTCAATGAGACAGATAAAATTCCAGTCCCATGATGAGCAACAATCAGTGGCACAGACCACCTGCACAGTTGGAAATGGAGCATGAAGATACGATTGATGCATCCCAGCAGAAGAAAGGAGGTATCTACTAAAAGGGGAGCCTGCTGCTTTACCCCAGGATTTTGTTGAATACATTCTACCACATCCTAGCTGTCTCTACTCTTTCCTTTCCCCTTCCCCACTCCTTTATTAGACACAAATATATTGTTCTTCCTTCCCACCCCCTTGTCTCTCTCTCTCTTTCTTCCTTCCCTAACTGAATGACCAATGTTCTATTTTGGTCAGCATCTGATAGAGCTGGTCTGGGGAAAGCCTGGATCTGTGGAAATGCCCCCTTTCTCCCCTAGTGGCATGTTCACTCAGCTCTTATCTTAAAAAATCCAGTAATTTATTTTGCTCTCATTGATACAATTAAAAAGCTCAATGACATACAGCCCCTGTATACTTTGTTCAATGCTTTTCACTTATTCTGAAACCAAAGACAACGTCATAACTTTTTTTATATAGAGCTGTTACACATAGGGTAATCTGTCTTGAGTAGGAGTAAATTACACTGGAAAAGAATGAAGCCTTGAATCCCCTTTAAGGCAAGTATCTTCATGCTTAAATAAACTTATTTGGCCTCTAACCCAAATACCAAGTTAATCCAGTCAGTTCAAAAATATATCTACAACTCAAGTAAATCAGTGGATGTAATTGTTGGAAAGAATCGTACTTAGCCTGAATCACAAGCCCACTTCCTATGAAGAATACAGTGATTCACTCCATACAGACTCCTCAGCAAATAATGCTGCTAAACAGAGTGCCTTCTGGGACTGCCTGCACAGTCACCAACAGAAGATACCAAAGCCAAGAGGAAACATGTTGTCTAGAAAAAATATACCATTTGCTTTTATTCCATTTCCTGAGTAGAACGTCTCTTCTTTGGAGACCAAACTTGGGGCTTGCTGCAATGCACCACATAGAACATTCCATTCTCATAGCCAATAAAAATTAGAAGCCACGTGAGTCAGTGAGGGTCACACAGCTGCTCCCAGGAAGCCAGGGTCTCTCCTACCCAGCATGAAGATCATATGTCCAGAATCTAGGTACTCTCCAATAAACAAGAACAGCTAAGAAAAAAACTGTGCAACCCTTTAAATGCTCTGTATTTGGTAGAAAAAGCCGTGTGAGCCACCCAGGAAGTGGGTATAAACCCGAGGGATCCAAAGTGCTGGGGTGGGCTGGAATCACCTCACCAACCAGTTCTGGCGCCGCAGAAAGTTTCTGAGAAGAGCAGATGTGACTAAGATCTAGGGAGGTTGACTCAAGGACAATAGAGCAGCAGTTCTCAGCCTATGGGTCTCGATCCCTTTAAGGGTCATATATCAGATATCCTCAATATCAGATATCTCCATTATGATTCATAAAAGTAGCAAATTACAGTTGTAAAGTAGCAACAAAATAATTTTATGGTTGGGGGGGTCACCACAACATGAGGGACTATATTAAAGGGTTGCAGCATTAGGGAAGTTGAGAATCACTGCATCAGAGGGTACCCCAAAGGCGTTACGTATGGAAAGCAGAGATTTACTTGGTAGGAGGTATTTTCATGGTTGATTTTCTCTGCAACTGTTTATCACTTATTTCATTTTAGTCCCACTAATCCTATGACTTTAGAGATCTCACCTATTGACTGTTCCATTGCCTATTAGAAAAAGTGTGCAGGTCTTTCTCCTTGATTCATCAGTGGGACGGGGTACCCTTTCAGAGTTTGGGTTTTTAGCAGACCTGTATTTAGTCTATGTGCTCTTGCAGCTTAGTCAGCACTGTGCTCACTAGAGTGGAACAGAGGTGGGACTTTTTGATTTCTGGAAGTAAGTTTGTGGTTCCTTTCCAGTTACTGACCCATGAGTGCAGATAAGAAGGCTGAGACCATCAGATTACAGTGTGAGCTGTCTGAAGACACTCATAGCCATGACCAGACTTTCAACCAATCAAACAACCTGAAGTTAAGAACCCTTCAAATTCCAGGCCCTGAACTTTAAAGGTGTGGCTAAATGTTGGGAGTTCTCTTAGCAGAGACTTTCCGCTATGCCCTGTCCATACTCTTGACCCAAAAAACAGGTATAGCATAATGAAATAGTTGTTTATTCATAATGTTGTACTCTCAGAAAATTGATTTAGCAGCAACAGACAACTATATGTACAAGATAGGTAATAAACCCATTGCTTATAGAACCCACACCTGGAATATGATCCTTAGCTCTGGGGAACACATTTCAGAATATTTTTTTAAAAAAATGTACTCAGAAACAAATAGCAAGAATTTTCTTTATGCAGGATGAGGTAGGGGTGAAAGGGTTGGAGACAGTTAGTTGCCCTCCAATATTTGAAGGCCTATGATGAATGAAAGTGGAAAAAAATACTTTCTATATTTCAGGAGGTAGGCAGAGAGGTAGGGATAGTTTCCAAAGTGGATTCAAAGATTTTCTAAATCCTGGGCATTTGAGGAAGCAAATGAGGTGGTGTGATCCCTTTGTTTAAGGTAATGGGGCACAGACTGGAGGATGGCCATGTAGATAAGGTTGGGGAGAGAATTCACTTATCAGAAAACTGGTTCCATAAAATGCCTTTACATTAAGGTTCCACTGCAACACTAAGATGTTTTTAATCTAAAGATCATCCCCATTTCCTTGTGCTAAGAAATCTAATCCTAACACATGTGGAGCAGAGAGGGGAAAAAAATACAAGATGAATAAATTACATGAAAGGCAAAACCCAAGTATAAATAGAAAGTGTTGCAGAACCTGAGGAGAAAAGAACAGAAAACTAACAAGGGAAATCCAACCCAGAAGAGCAGGAAAGAAACATTAAAAGGAAGAGGGAGCGGGAACAAACTGGAGAGGCGCTTTGTGGGAGAGGTGGAGGAGTGAATTAGACAAGCTGGGGCCAGACAATGCCTGCCACCTTCCTGAGAAAGAGCGTCCTTTACTGTGGAGACATCAGTGGGAAAAACATTCCAGAGAATGTGGGTCATGTACCAAGCACCAATGCCTTGGTTGTCCTTATGTAGAATGGTAATTAAAGCTTGCTGATACCGCTGGAAATTATACCTGTTTCCTGAAGAAATCAGTGTGATAAAGAACATGCCAAGCACCCAGAAAATGAGACCAGTCCAAAAGAAAAGTCAAAGAGGAAACCACAAAGAGAAAAAGATTTAAAAGAAAAAAAATTATCTCCTTTATGTTTTGTCTGAATTTTATCACCATTGTAATCAGTTTCTGAGGGTTCATAATGACTTTAACTCTCATTACTCAACCCGTAAACAAATCTTCCCTTGATACCCTTTACAGGAGGAGGGGAGACTCCTTTGAAGTGGAAGGAAAAAGTCACCTTCAGGGAACAGAGGCAGTGAATTCTGGAGCCAAATGGTAAGAAATGATCATAGGTCACGTGCCTCAGTCTTCCAAAGATTCATCACGCCAGAAGTCACCAATTCACACCATCCATGAAATGCTTTATTTTTGATTTTAAGTTTTAAAAAGATATTCTTTTCCTCTTAAGAATGGAAATTATATCATGTTACTCACCCATTTCCTAGGTCTGCCTCTTGGCCGTTTTTCTCCAATGGCCTCTGCTTTCTGAAAAGAATGACAAAGGAAGTCATGTAATCTCCTGCCTGAGGTTTTTCACATGAGCTGGACCAAGGGCTGTGTTTCCAGTTAGAATGTTCTGTACTGCAGATGAGGTATCTTCCTCATGTACACTTCATGGTCTGTGCTTTTTAATGGATGCTTCTTCCTTGCTGCTCACTGCATGACGTAAAGAGGTATCTATGCAACCTCTCACCATAAAAGACTCCCATGGGGTGATGGCTTCTGAAGTGCATGAATACACTTTTGTGAAACCCACTTTGCCTTTGTTTCTGATCATACCAAAGAAATATTCCCACATCCCATAATTTATGCAAATTAATATGTAACAGCATGAACATTCTTTCAATCATCAAGACTCTCCAGTTACAAGTAGTTACAAAAATTAATATAGACATATTAACTTTGGATAATGAAACAGTTGTCTCTATACTACTATAGAAAGCAAGTCTGAATGTGAGAAATAATACACTTCAGTCTGAAACAATGAACATCAACCAACTTCTTCACAGCTAATTTCCTGTTCTTTGCTCAAAACAATCACCTGTTAATCAGTTGCATAAGGCAGAGATAGTGAGAGAGGAAGGGAGAGAAGAGGGAGATAGATAGACAGACAGACTGACTAACAGACGATAGTTTTAAAAAACACCAGCAAAAATCACCAATATTTGTCCCAGAGATTTAAATCATAGCTACATAAAAATTATTCAACTAAAATGGGCATTGTTAACACTAATTCCACACTCGACATGAGTCTTACATAAATCTCTTTCTTGTTATCATTACAGTTTGTTTCATTGCTATACTGCACAGATTTTTCTGATATCAGTTAGTTATTTCTATTTTAGTTCCAATTTTAACATTCATAAAGTAATTAGCTTTAGTCACCTAACTTACTCCATTCCCTAAGCATGTCAACACACACACACACACACACACACACACACACACACACACTTACCTTCTATAAAAAAAAAAAAAGCATATGTTTAGACTTTTCTGAATAAAGCTGAGAATTTACTTACCGCTTTGTGTAAGACCCCTCATACAAAAATCTAGGCAGACCGAGTCAGGACAACTTCTTTTATAATTTAGTTTTGTCCAGTGTGTCTTGGTACATTGATACATTGATATATTAAGAGCCTGTAGTGACAAATAAAACCTTCCTTCCCCTCTTCAACTTACCTAATAAAAGCAGATGAATATAAAGGACAAGATGGATAGATGGATGGATGGATGGATGGATGGATGGATGGATGGATGGATGGACAGATAGAAAGACAGAGATAACAGTTTGATAGTTGATAGAAAATCTGCAGATAGATACCTGGCATTGCTATCCAGCCATAGGCTAATCCAGATTCACAACTGTCAGAAATTCTATGATTATAATGTTACCTCCAATTTACTAAGCATTTAAAATTCTCTGGTCTAAGTTAGGTGGTGTGGTACTTTAATCCTTACAGCAGGCTTGTAACAGGAGCATCGTGACTTCATTTACTTTGCAGATGAGCAACCAAATCCTAGATGAGTTGGGTCATATCATGCTGGTAAGCGATGGGCCTGAGATTTGAACCCAGCTCTGTTTGACTTCTAAGACTTCTGCTAGCCTCTTCCCAGTGCTTGAGACAACTCTGGTAACAGAGCCACTGATTTGGCTCATTTCTGAGATTGAAAAGGAATTCAGTAGCTCTGGGGATCTTTAGCTGTCAGATTTTGGCTGTCAATGTTTCCAGCTTTGTTCCAGATCAACCAAGGATTTCTTTATGGTCAAACTTAGTGCACCACCTCACCTTTAGTCACAGAGCATGGATTGTAGGGTAAGTGCAAGCTGGGGATGCCCAGAAAACCACACAGCCTTTCTCAGTTGTCCCCTGGAGGAATGAAGGTGTCATACTTCAGAAAGCCTAGGTCCAAGGCCCTTCTCAGTCTAGCTTTATGACTAGGGACAGGTCCCTGGAAGCCTTGATTTGATTTCCTAAAGTGGAGACAAGTTCTCCTTTGTGGGGACATCAAGGAACTTGGACATGCCCACCCTAACCAAGATGCTCAAAAATGTCTTTTCATACCTAATAGGATAGAAGGCTTAAAAGTAAAGTTTCTCTTCAAGTTAGTCCAAGACAGTTGAGTCAAGGCAAAGTATTCCAGTGTACTCAACCGTCTCCTCTTAGAAGACAACTTTGAAGAAACGCCTGGCTGGGATATAGTGAGTTGTAAAGGCTCATGAGACCCGGGGAGAGGGCAGCATTTGAGTGCATCTTTGGAAGTAACTATAAGATTGCACGAAGTTTACCCAGTAATGAATTACAGGAACATGAAACACAGACAGCCTTTCTCATGGGAACTGGGTGGTCCTTGTTGGAGGGAAGGCTGCTATTAACCTTGAAGGTAACAATGCTCTACCAGAATTTCTGTATAATTCTTACATCCTAGGAGCTATGATATGACCTGGGTGTATCTGAAATCTACTGAAGAGAAGAAGGAGTTTTCTAAGAAAAAAAAGCTCCCCTGCATTTTAAAGTGAGAGAAAACAGATCTCTCAAAGAGAGAGGGGAGAGGAAGCCTTGCAAATACGATAACTTTTAAATGAGTATCCCATTTACAAAAAGCCCATTGAGAAATAAAATTCATACCATTAACGAAAGGGCACAAGACCACGATTATCACTTGGACTTGTTAAAAGTGAACTTGCTCCCTGCTCATAGAGGCTGGTGTCCTACGTAAACTGAAACCTCTTCTGAGATGACATCTAGAAGAAACATGCTGGCTGCCCTGTGTGGCCTCTATCTGGGAGGCTTGATTGTTCTTGAAAACCCACATTACTGAATCACTCTGATCAAACTTCACAGGCTGCAAAACAAGCTGGGGTTTTAGTTTGTAAACCAGAGTAGCTCCAGGATTTTCAGATACTGGGAAACTGTGGCTTTAAGCATCTCTGTGTGTGTGTGTGTGTGTGTGTGTGTGTGTGTGTGTGTAATACTCTTTGAGGCATTGTCTTTCAAAGAAGATAAACAAAACATCGAGGATACTTGTTTAAAAGCATTGACATATACAGTACTGTAAAAGCAAATGTTTGCTTTGCCTTTGCTGGGATCGGTTTTGGTTCTGTATTCCATATACATGTATAACTGAGACATAACTAGTTCTAAGTGGTTTTGGTTTTTGTAGAGGGCAGCAGCAGGAACCAGTAGGCTTTCTGCATTTGTGAAAACTAAAATTTCAGACTTTTACCAGCACCATGACACAAGTATCCACATCCCTCATAGCACAGCCTATCCGGGGTGCTTTCTTCCCCAGTTGACTCGATTATATTCTTTATGCCTTTGTAAAGTTCATAATTCAGAATTGTGTCCTCAATTTTAGATGTTTAGAAGCAAGTTTGGGGAAATATGGTAGGGGATGCTAAATAGAAGATGCACTTCTTTCTTTAGGAAGTGCTGGGCACTTTAAGCTTGGGAGTATATTCCATATTTTAAAAAATTTAAAAAGGAAATTTATCTTGTGAACATCTCCCTTGGATTGGAAACGGTAATTATGGTTATAGTGGATATATTAGGGGAGGAATTCACTATCAGTTTTTGAAAGGGATGAATAAAGAGGGATAAAAGGAGGGAGAAAGGGGAAAGGAAGACGAGAGACAAAGGGGACGGGGACTGGGAGGAGAGAAGCATTGGTGTTCCTGTGTGCATTTTGTTTCCCCATTACCATCAAACCCCAGAAGCTTGGTAAAACTTCAAAACCATCTCTCGTAGTGCTTTCATTTGACAATTAAGAATACATTTGGATTATGGCAATCCCCAAACTTTGTGGATTATTTGGAGGGGGGGCAAAGCCTCTGCATATTAGTGGCAGAAGACCCATATTTCTCTGCCTTCATGTCTTAAAACACTTCAAGTTCCCCACACTTTTAATCCAGTCTATATTTCAAGGAGGATGATAGATATCAACTTTTCACTTGGCAGTGTATAAAACACGGGTCATTCCCCACAAGTGGGAAGGATGAGTTTTAGAAGAGTTGAACACTGGGCATGTGTCAGTTTACAATTTTGAATCAGTTTTATCATTTGTGAAGACCATCTACTTGTGAAGGGCCCAGCAAGACTGCAGTATTGAACAGACACTCAAATGTAATGTAACTCTACTTCATTACAACAATGCCCTACTGAGTTAATCGGTCTCCACAGTGACGTTTCTATTTAACGGCTTCTCCAGTCTCCCACTCTGTGGGAGATTCTGTGACTTGCCAACCTTCACAGGGAATGGAACTTAGACTCAACCTGATATTAAGACAGGATGGCTCTTTTCTATGCTGAGATAGTCTCAGATATAAAACAGAATGGCCAAAGGCAAGGTGTGAGACGAAGAAAGATTTTTTTTTTAAGACCAAGAAAATTTTAAAGAAGAAGAAAGCTCCTTAGGATTAATGAGTAGTTAGAATATTTTCAACATTCCTGTATTCCTATTAAGACATGAACAAGAGCAGTGACTGGGAACCAAGAGACAAATTCAAGTCTAACTTCAGGTCAAGCTATTCAATTTTTACAATTCTAAATGCTCTCATCATATTTTTGTGTTACAGTGGGCATTACCTATAAGCCAGAGATCCCTAGTTCAAATCAGTAAGTGTTTAAACACAGAAAAAGAAAGTAGGAAAAAATTAAAAATGAGCTGCATGAGAAAGTGGCTTGTATTGTCTTTGTATATTTGTATTTTGATTTTTTTAAAAAAAGACTAAACCCTGTTTGAACCCAATAGTATGCAGAAACACAACAGTGTATGAAACATAAGGACATCTAATCAAAATCTAGAAAAATAAACCATTTCTTCCAGCCTCCCTCTCCCACGTCTCTCTCTCTCTCTCCCACCACCTCTCTCTCTCTCTCTCTCTCTCTCTCTCTCTCCCTCTCTCTCTCTCAAAAACAAAAAGCAGAGTGAACCAACATTCATTGGAATTGAATTGAATTGGCTCAATCATTTGGACTAAACAT